GCCATGATGATCCACTTGGTAAAATAAATCCGCTTGGCATCTTTCTTGGCCTTAAGACAACAACTCTGATGCTAAAGATCCAAACGGGACAACAACAAAAGAAAAAAAAAAAATCAAATTGTTGCTTAATTTACACAAAGTGTCAGAAATCTGCACCGTGAACAAAAATGAGTTGGGTTCACCCTCTGAGGTCCAAAATATAACCGGCCAGTTTTGATTTGTATTTCATCTTTAAATTGTTTCATTTGATCTTTTTTGCCTTGTTTGGTCTCATCGCTTCGGCTCAACCTCACGTGTCTGAATTTACACTTATTTTTTCATTGACATGCTGTGTTAACACAACTGATCTAAAATCACACAAAAACATAAAATCCTATAAGTAGTTATAGGTTTTTTTCAGTGTAACAACCAAGCACCTGTGTGAAATCTGAAATGCCCATGGTGCTCTGGCACAATCATAGGCATGGGTTGCTACTGACAACAAGTGATATCAAGTCTGCACTGTGGGCTGAACCATTTGTTAATGATGGAGGGGGTAACACTATGCAATATATTCAGTGTAAACTGTAGCTAGGCTCAAAGTGTTGTTGCCATCTTATTTCAATAAACAACACTGTCATATGAAAAACACCCTCTAGCTCCGCCCCTGGCCCTGAGAGAAGATTTAAACATCTGTTATGTTGTTTATGTTTTCTTGTGAATAAAATGTGGACGTATGAGATGTTCAAATGTGGTTTTTATTTACAGATTACACAGCGTCTCACTGTTTTGGAACCTGGTTAGTACGACGAGGTTCGAGTGCACAGCACTATCACTGCTACAGCTGGAGTGAACACAGCCCTGGTTACCTGAGCACAGACCACCACACACATCTACGTCACTCTTATGTGAAATGAAATCTACAAACAGAGAGCTGCAAACACAACAACTAAGAGTTATTATAGAACTTCTTTCAGACTTGCCACTCAGGCTCTCATGGCTGTGAGAATCACATTGCCGTCATCACACAGCAGCACTACATCTCAAAATCTCAGCTGATCGTCAGAAAACACACACCTGGGAGGTTCCGATCACGTGACTGCTGAGTGTCCATAGACTGTAAGTGAAGATGGAACCTGCTGCTTCCGTGGACCTGAGATTTCCTCCAATCATGCAGGTGAATTTTTAACAGTGAGCGCACTTTATGTGTCTGCGTGGACGATCACACACTTTTAGAGTGATGTCACATGACTGAGCCCGGAAGTGTGCACGCATGAATGAAGTGAACTCACAGGCTTCCACACAGACAGAGTGAAGCTGAAAGCTTCGACTTCTACATCGAAATTTCAAGATAGTTTCTCGGTTTTGAGTTATTATCTGTCAAGTCTGAGATCCTAACTTTTGAGAGAAGTATCGCAAAAGTTTTCCTCGGTCGCGTACAGCCGGCTCTACAGCTCTCCTACTCTTTAACCTGATGACGACATGACAGTGAAAACTTTCAGCGGCCCCACCTTTCATCTTTTATGTTTCAAGCTCGAGCTCTTCAGCTCTCGCGCCTGCGCAAACACGCGCCGAAGAGCTGTCCCTCGACCCGACGAGTGTATGTGTGAGTGCGGGCGGTGAATCTTCGGGAAGAGTAAACTTGAGCAGCGGCTGAAGCGCGGAGCGGCTGCGGGAGTTACCTTGGTGAAAACCTCCAGGTCCTCGTCCTCGTCCAGGTCCAGCATGTGTTCTGAGAAGTCTGCAGGGACCGTGTGCCCGCTCATCGCTCTCAGCTCCGGAGACTAACTAAACACAAACTTCCACCTCAACTCCGCACGGCAGCCGCACTCAGAGGCCCGCCGAGGATGCCACTTCCTCTGACGGATTTCAAAGTAAAAGCTGCGACCGGTCACGTTCGACTTTGGCCCGGAAGCTGAGTTCTCGTTATGCGTCTTTGTTGTTCGCAGTAAAGTTGAGTGTTGGCTGTAGTTTGTTCATGTTTTTTAGCCAAAATGCTGAGTGTACATGTGTTGCCTCATATCATAAGGAAAGGCCATGAGCATGATTTAGCCAGAAACGTGTCTGAACAGGACCACTGGAGTTCTGTGTTTTTATTTATTTATTTTATATTTTCTGTTTGTTTGTTTTAAAGTTTGTTTTTCTGTTATGATAACATATGTGCTATTTATTATGTTTTATCAAATGTTAAGCTTAACAGATCCAACAAAGTCAAAGTGGAAAAGCGCTGCCCCATAATGTGATTATAGTTTTGCAACACTGCAGTATCGTTTTAGCCTTTTATTCTTATTCATTCCAGTGAACTCAAACTTAAAACTAGGAAAGAAAAATACTGACAGCAACCTGTTTGTTTGATCCCTGGCTGCTCCAGTCTGCATGTCAAATATCCCTGTGCAAGATACTGAGTTGTTCTTTGATGGCTTGTATGAATGGGTAAACAAGACAATTTGTATAAAGTGCTAATAATTATAATAATTATAATAATAATAATAAAGAGAGAGAGAGAGGTTTTCTCTTTGACTCCTGATTTTTATGACGTCTTCTTTGCTTATGTGTTTCTGTGTATTTAGCCTTTTTTACACTTTTATATCATTTATATTTTCATTCACGTGGATTTTTAAACATTTTTAAAGATTTATTTGAAGTGCATACATATTTGAATTTTATACGGTTTATGAAAGAACAATTACTACTGTAAGTTCTGCATCCACGACTCTACTTAAGTAACAATAAAGAAGCCTTAGCTTCAAAATATATTTCAAGTCATCATTCTGTTGAAGAAAGGTTGTGAGCTCTGATACTGTTAGACCTTCCACTCCTCCTGATGTTCCTGTACCTCTGTCATCTATGAACTATGGATCCAGTGTTTAGGAACCAGTGATCATTAACACCCGCACTACACCAGAGCACGGTCGTATTTCCTGCATATTTGGCTGAGCGAGACTTTCACTTACCTGCGATCTTGTCAACAAACAGGCAAACTGTGTGTTTATTCAGGGGAGTGTGGCTGGCGCACAGGCTGCACTGACAGTCAGCCCCACCAGCACCAAAAGATGTCAGTGTTGCATAAGGCTGTGCAACAATGTGTCACAGCTCAGGCTGGACCACCACTGCACGCTCACACAGTCACCGACACTTTACAGCAAACGCTGCGCCTGAAAGAAGCAAAGGAGCTCCTGCACAAAGAGTTATTGTTTTCCTTTTGAATGTGAGAGAATCTTCATTTATTCACAATGAAAAATAAGTTTCTCTGCAATTTATTTTTTTCTTTGTGATTCGATTTTCTCCTTTACTGTCTACTTTCACTACACAATATAAGGGTACAGAAAAAACAAAATTCACTTTCCTGCAGGACTGCCGCAGTCTGCTCTGTTACATGATACAAACAGAAGCATCTGCAAAGACTAAGTGGGCTGTGGACAGGAAGAGGACCAGAACCATCCCTGGAGTCTGTGTAGAGACACAATAGCACTCTACAGGAAGAGCCAGAGTCATCTGTTATCTGCAACCACTTCTTTCAGCTGCTCCCTTTAATAGTCCCCACATCTCATTCTATACCACCTTCTTCTGTTTCACACCTGCCCTCTGCACGTCTTCCTTCACTAGATCCATGAACCTCTCTGAGGTCTTTCTCTTTTCCTCCTGCAGCACCATTTTCACCATCCTTTGTCCACCATACCCACTATTCGTCCCCTGCACATGTCCAAACCTCTCTAACTTTGTCTCCAAAGCACTCAGCCTCAGCTCTTGTATTCATTTCTAGTTGTGGCGGGGCGTGGTCTGAGGTGCCGCTGCGAGTGAGGCGGACGCACCAGGATGCTGTGTATATGCAGAACAGGTTGATTGCAGTGGAGTTCACTAGAAAGTTTTCATTGTTTTAAACTCACAGTTTCGCTTCACTTCCATTATGAATAAATATACTTCAGATTATTTGTATTTTATTTGAAGCACTTGGGCATTTTTGCAGTGTTACTGCTGATATTGTATCCAAATAATGAATGTTGGCTTCATGTTGCCATGACGCCAGGATCAACGGCAGGAAGACACTTCTACACACTGATCACATGTAGTTCACTCAGGGTCGTATATCCTGCTTCATTTTGACCCTATTCATGTGAATAACACTGCAGCACTATCAATGTCTCCTTGGAGACTGTCTAACAATGTGCATCAATATCCCCATTTTTAAATAGCAAAGCAACATTTCTCCACCTTCTTCTTTCTTCTCCCTCCTCTGCCAAATGACCAGTGTTGG